GCAACATGGTGGACTCACTCTGGGGAGCTTCTGGAAGAGAAGGAGTGGAAATTAATATATCGGAGAAGTAGGGTACCTTGTCAAGGAGAGTATCTTGTCGCAACTCGAAGTCGACTCCATCGGAGGAGCGTAAACAGACGAGCTTGCTCATCGACAAAAGTGGGTAGAAGGCACGATAAGGAGAGGAGGTAAATTATGGTGCATAGTAAATCGCTTTCCGTTTATTCTTATAGCACTCGAGGGTTCAGAACGGAGTCTCGGTTACTTGCCAGCAGGTGAGACGGGTGTGGCTGTCTACCCTTGATTGCCAGTAATTGTCGGCGACAGGCGGTTGTGTAAGGAAGCGCGTGGTTTCACCTTTTAGAGTCGTTAATCACACATGTTGTGGTAGTTGAAATAAATTGATCATTCTATGCAGAGGTTGGTCCGTGTTCCTATGGAACGAGGGATCGCGCTTGAAGCAGTCGTAAACTAGTAATATCGAGATGGATCTTTTAGAAAGAGGGAGGCCCGGCGTAGAATTCTATCTCCCATGCCGAAGGTAAATACGATTCGGGCCATCGTTCCGCCATGGCCAGCCGCGCAATTGTTGCCGCGCCGAACCTATCGAACCAAAAGGACCACCGCCTCCGGTCGGAAGGATTTGGTGTCCAGATGCATATTCCACCTTTGGCATCCCTGGAGGACTCGATTACGGAAGGAGATGCAGCTCTCCAGACAATTTCCATAGAATAATACGGGCGTAAATAAGCAATACTAATTGATTGTAGTTGCTTATTTGCCTGGTATAATGCCCGTACGACCTTTTCTTCATCTATTGAGTCGGGGACGGCAGGGTATAGATAATCCTTGATGCCGACAGTGATCAGGTCGTGTAGATGACCTACCATACGGGAGTACCACCCCAATGGAACCTAAAATAATCAGAAACGAGATTCAGAGGATAGCTGATGAAACTTACCAGAGGCTCAGGGAGGGTGAAGATGTTACAACCGCAATACCCATATTCCAAGTTATTGAGACGAGGGAATTTGGTCGCAAATTCATCGATATTCTCAAAAGAAGTTTCCCAATCTTCTGCCGAGACATGAATGACACATTCTAATTCCCGAAGGCCTGAGCCTATCTGTTCTCCCACAGTTCGTAGTTGCT